AGAGTGCATGCTTAGCATGCACAAGGTCCTGGGTTCAATCTCCAGAATCTCCATTACAATAAATAAACCTAATTACCTCCTCCCCCCAAAGATAGAAAAAAAATTAAAAATAAATTATGAAAATATTGAGAGAGGGTATTCCTACCGCAAGGTAGGAAAAGAATTCCTGAGCAAGATAAGCATATCCCAGGACTGTAGAGGAAAACAGATTCTTTTTAAGCCTATCTGATTGCATCAGTAAGATACTGTTTTGGTTATATCGAGAACTGTTGAGGATGCAGAGAAATGGGGGCACTCAGTGTACTATAGGAATGTCTATTACCACAATATTTTTGGCAAATAATCTGTCTTAAGTTACACGTGTATATGGCCTTTGAGCTGGTTATTCCCACTTAATGAGAATATCCTACAGAAAACACAAATAGAAAAGGATGTGTACAAGGGTGATCAAAGCAGGATTGTTTATAATGAAAAAACTGGAAATGTAAATGTGCATCAAAGGGGGAGTGGTGAGTCATTGGTGCTATATCCATTAAAAAGTGAAGTATACTTGTACATGTTGAATAGTAAGGATATTTCATTTAATATATTTAGCATGGTTCTGTTACAATATATACTTTATGAGTGTTTCTGTAAGCAAAGAAATATGAAAGGACACACACTAAGTTGTTAAAATTGATTACCTCTTGGTAGGATTAAAAGTGAAAGGAAAAAACTTGCATATAGTTAAAATCTGTTTTGTATGTCCATTTTGTATTAGCTTTTTTTTTTTAAAGTAGGGTGTACTTTCTTCATACATCTCTTTCACTTTAATGCTTGCTTTTCCAATAAAATTTCCTAACTACAAAGATCCACTATCCAAAATTTTTCAAATGATTATTGAAAACACTGTAAGATGATACATAGCATTTTACTATTTTGTGGGTTTTGTTCAGGGGAATCTTATTACATGTATTCTGACAACCACTAGATATGTTAAATTGCTTGTTCTGAGTTAGTATTATTATATTATTTTTTAAATCCTTTCAGATTAAGGCTGAAAAATTTTTTTGATTTGAATTATATTTTCTAATAAATTTAGGATTTTCAAGCATAATAAGCATGCTTTGAAGCAAATATGAACATTAAAAATGTGCAGACTAACATAAATAAATTTCATTAAGTTGGAGGAGTTTGGGGCCATTATTTCTTGAAATATTCTTTCTAACCATTACTTTCCTCCTTCCTGGACTCCATTATGCATGTGTTGGTACATTGCACAGTGTTCTACTGGTCTCTGAGGTTCTGTTCGTTTTTCTTCATTATTTTCTTTCTACCCTTCAGAATGAATAATATCAGTTGACTTAACAAGTTTGCTGATTCTTTCCCTGCTCAACTCTCCTGCAAACTCTTAAGTAAATTTTTCAATTATTGTACTTTTCAGCTCTAAAATTTCTATTTAGTTTAATTTCTTTTGTTATTTGATGAGATACGACTTTTATGATTTCCTTTAGGTTGTGGTACATGGTTTCCTTTGGCTCATTGGACATTTAAAATGCCTGATTTAAAATCTTTGTCTAATGTCTGGGATTGTTCAGGGACAGTTTCTATTAATTTCCTTTTTTTTCTATTTATCGGCATACTTTCTTATTTCTTTGCATGCCTCATTATTTTTGTTGAAAACTGGACATTGTGAATGTTACATAGCAGCTCTGCAAATCAGATTCTCCTCTCTCCCCAGGGTTGTTACTCTGCTTGTTGTCATTTGTTTAGTGACCTTTCTGAACTAATTTTATAAAAGTTGGTATTCTTTTTTGTGTGTGGCCATTGAAGTGTCTGTTCATTAGCTTAGTTGTCAGTTAATTATTTACAAGAAATTTCCTTAAATAATCATAAGCAAAAAACAAAACTCTCCCAGTCTTTGCAAATGGACTTTTGTGTATGCTAAGGCACAGCTTCAGCACTCAGGTAGTTTACAACTCTTTCTTAATATTTTCTATATGTGCAGAGCCTGCAAGTGAGTGTGTAGGGCCTTCTTGGGTTTGCTCTGAGCGTGCTACCAGCACTGAACATACCCATGGCCTTTTAGGTTTCCAAGAATATGCAGGAGCTTTTCAAAGCCTTTATTCCCAAAGCATCTCCTTCACCAGCCTCACCTCTCAGGCTTTTTGCTTTGTCTGTTGTTTGCGCCAACTGTTATTCTTTGCTGGCTTTGGCTACTACATTTGCCTTTAACCATTTCTGACAAATGCCAAACACCTTAAATTGTAAATTTTATGGTATTTGAACAATATACTCAATTTTTTAAAATAGCAAAACATACAAGGACATACTATAAAGAGTGGTCCAAGAAGGATCCAGAACAGGTTATAGAAGAAAGTTAAAAATTTGATACAATACCTTACCTTAGAACATGTTGCACTCAGTAATTATAGATCTTTCAGTGTTTTGAAAGTAAATGATCCTTAACCCCTCTGGCTTTCCACCTGGTTGGCTAACAAAAATCTGATTAGCATTTGTTCCCTCAGCTATGTAAGGTGTAAGATTAGTGCTCAGGCTCCATTTGATTCTTACTGGTTTCAGTTATGAATAGTTTCCCAAATACTGCTTGACAACGAAATTGCATTTACTATCCTTCATAGACTTTCACTCAGATCATACCAAAGCCACAGGTTGTTTGATGAGGTGATAATGGGCAAAAAGCTGACTTAGAGCCATGTCAGATGCAGGGATTGGGCCTTTTTTGCTAAGCACTGTTTATATTTTATTTATTACTGGTCAGCATCAAGCAAGGAAGGAGGGAGTCCTTTGGGATTCCCAGACTGTAGAATTTGTTGATGCAGATTTTTCGTTTTCTACATAAGCTTATGCTCATGAAATGTGTGGGAAGGACTTTTTTCTTTTCAAACAAATGGCATTTATATATAGATAATACTTGAATTACCTCAGCCATATTCACAGACAAGTTAGAAGTATAGAATATTCTACTACCTGTCTCATACATATGGTTGCTACTTTACTATTCAGTTCTGTTTGAATATTGAATATCCTATACTCTGTACTAAACATGATTTTTATTTGCTGTATTGTGGTCTTTTGAAAGGTAGGATTTAATGAGTTGGTATAGCATACGTAGTGGGGAAATAATAATGAAAGGCTGTTATAATTAGAATGTCTTTGAACATAGTTTAATGATACGTTCATATGCAGAGGAAACAAAGTTCCATCTAGTTGCAAAGCAGGATTGACCCCCTGCTTTTCATAATATTTGAGGTTAAGCTAAAATGTAATTTCTTTAAAGATGAACATATAAATATTTGGTAGCCATACATATAAGAATGAGTAATTTTCTTTAGAGAAACTGATTGCTCTTTTAGTCAAAACTTGTTTTCAAAATAAGAGAGTTTATTTAATCCAAGATTAATGATAAACAAAAATATCAAAGATATCCATCAAATGTTTTCTCTTTTGTCTGCTTTCAGTGTTTCACTTTCCTAACCAAAATCATGTTTTCTTTCTACCCACATACACCCTAACACTTAAGTCTCAGTCTGCCTGAGACAACAATGCTTAAGGCAGAAGTTCTCAGTAATTTTTAATTCAGGGCCTCCTAATAATTAACAGTGTTACCACCATAATACTGTTGTCATTAGTATTCAGTATTGGGGAAAATGCATAGGACCTCCCTACCCCAGCTTAGAGACTTAAGTTTATATTAAACATAACAGCTATAAATTTTTATTATACTTCTGTCCTATGAATTTAAAGGATTAGGCAACACATATAGGGCAAGTCTCTCCCTGAACCAGAGGAAAAAACCTTTTAGTAGGAGGTTTTAGTTTTAGTGTTTTGCTTGATTAGGAAAATTTTAGAGTGAGAAGGCTTGAAATTTTTTTTAACTCTATCCTCATATTAGGTATGCTGTTTCCTTCCTTTGGCACAAGTCACACTAATGTTTGAATTTATGTACAGGTTGACACATGGTTTATGTAAACCCTTGTTTAGCAGTTTGAGAGTTAATAAGTTGGTAGACTATTGTATTACATTTTTTAAAATATTTTTTTGAATGGGGCGGTAATTAGATTTGTTAATGTTTAAGTTTATTAGAGGAGGTACTGGGGATTGAACCCAGGACCTTATGCGTGTTAAGCATGCAGTCTAACACTTGAGCTATACCTCCCCCCTACCCCTGCCACGGTAGACTATAGTAGCATCTCAAACTTTACACTTCAGACTTTTAGCCTGAAATGTATCAATTAGATATGTTATCACCTATTGAGTAGAGTGTAAAAAACCAGACCTGCTGTGTTACATGTTACTGCTACTCACATAAAAAGAGATTAAATGCCTAAAACCCACTGTATAGTGTGGAAATCCAGACATGGAGAACTGAACATGGACCCAGAGATAAAGCAAATAGATAATGGCTATGAAATCGAGAGAGCCAGAGCTATACCTTGCAACAGAGGAGCTAATAGGTGGAACTAAAAGTTTTCACTTTCAGTCTCTGGGCTTTTTAATATCAGGGTTTTTTTTGGGGGGGAGGGGTAATTAGATTTGTTTGTTTATTTCTTTTAACGGAGGTACTGGAGATTGAACCCAGGACCTCGTAAATGCTAAGCACACACTCTACTACTGAGCTGTACCCTCCCCGACTTAATATCAGTTTTTAAAAGTATAATTTACTTTTCATAGAGTCACTTGATGACTCAAGTCTTCCAGACAATGCTTGTTTCATAAAGCATGGGATACCTAATTTTAAAAAAAATTGGATGGTTTGGGGATTCCATTTAAGCAATTGCTTGCCCTTGCTTACCGTTATGAGAAAACATTAGATGAATCTAAGCTATTCTTAGCTATTTCTTAAACATTAAAATAATTTAGGAGAAAAATGAAGCTTTCCAGTTGCTCAGTTTATTCATGTGCATCTAATGCCTAACTATAATGTTTGATAATAATGGATGCTCATTAAGAACTGAAAGAATGACTGACTAAATTAACTGTATTGTTGTTCTTTTAAGGTTAAAAACTACATCTAACGCCAACCATGAAAGATCCAAGTCGCAGCAGTACTAGCCCAAGCATCATCAATGAAGATGTGATTATTAATGGTCATTCTCATGAAGATGACAATCCATTTGCAGAGTACATGTGGATGGAAAATGAAGAGGAATTCAACAGACAAGTTAGTTTTGTATATAAACGTCATCTTGTTTTGCAGCCAGTGACATCATGCCCTCCAAATAATATAATAGTACTTGTTCCTGAAATGTGTTTTTCACCTGGTCTGTTATGTATAGATTTATGTGCCAGCACTCCTATTTCATTTGGATGCTGATTACTACCAGGTTTAACTGTTCATTGAAATAACTTTAGGAGGCTATTTTCAGGATCCCACCTCAGAGATTCTAATTCAGGAGGATTAGGGTGGAGCCTGGGAAACTTGTTTTTTTAAAAGCTCCCAGATGGTTCCAGTGAGCAGGTAGGTTTGGAAACCACTACCTTAACACTAGTTTGTTCTATTACAGTGAAAGTCAAGAGGAATCAGGAGCAGATTGCATTGTTTTTCACCAGAGGTTATCATTTTGATCAGCTTCAACATCTGACACCACTGTTCTCTTTAGAGAACTCTCATACATTGTTAGATGTCTTTTATTCCCATATTTCTGGCACCTGTTCCCATCTTTTATCTAGTTTCTCTCTGATCCTGGCTTTGATAATCAGTAGACAGTTTCATTTCACCATATCCAGTGATGGATATTCAAGAGTAAAGCAGTTTAGTCTTATTTCAGTGAGAATAAGTTTGGTTGCTTTGCTTTTTTTTTTTTTTTTTTTCACCCATACCCTGACTACCCTCTAAAGATTTTTTGTGTGTGTGTGGTAGTCATTTTTAGGTGGGTTTAGGGTTTATATAATTGTAGAAGTATTGTAGGTAATTCTGATATGCATCCTTCCATAAGAACACTTCTTTGTTACTTCTTCCCCACCACCTTCAGTGGAAAAAAAGAATATTCTACTAAGATAAGTAAAAACATAGCAAAACCCAAACAGATCTTCCCAGATCTTATAGAAAAGTTTGTGGGGTTTTTTAATTTTGTTTTTGTTTTTTTACTTAGCACAGAAGCAGAGGAGGAAGTACAACATTCTGTTTTTAAATGGTTCAGCTCAGGGTTGGAAGGCTATAGCTCAGTGGAAGAATGCCTGCTTAGCATTTACGATGTTCAATCCCCATACCTCCATTTAAATGAATGAATGAATAAATAAATCCTAATTACCTCCTGCCACCACCAAAAATAAAAAAAGGTTTAGTTCAAAGTATTTTAAGCCTTTCCCAGTGATGTTTTACCAGGTATGCTGTAAATTATCCTTTATTTATTATAAATCCAGATAGAAGAGGAGTTATGGGAAGAAGAATTTATTGAACGCTGTTTCCAAGAAATGCTGGAAGAAGAAGAAGAACATGAGTGGTTTATTCCAGCTCGAGATCTCCCACAAACTATGGACCAAATCCAAGACCAATTTAATGACCTTGTTATCAGTGATGGCTCTTCCCTGGAAGATCTTGTGGTAAAGAGTTATTTTTCATCTTTTTAAAACCTAGCTCATCTTTTTCATAAGTGGAAAGGCCAGCAGCTACCTGTTCAAGAAGAGTTCTACATCTCTTCCCCTTTAAAAATTATACTACTTCTTACCATGGAAGCAGGAGGCTCCTGGTCTCAGTTATGACAGGGAGTGACTTCTGGCAACACTCTTTAACTAGTCTGAGACTATTAATAGACTTCTTGCCACTGCTTTTAGTTTTGATAACTATGTTGCCCTAGGATAGGTAAATGTCTTAAAGCATTAATTCAAAAGGGAGTACACAGTAGGTCCATGTAGATTGTTTATACAAAAGTAGCTCGATGGAAAAGTTTTGCTCTTTAATTTTGTCTTAAGTATTTGGTGAAATTGCAAATTTTTTTCAGAAAGGTAAAATTTTGGAGGTTTTTTTTTCCTGATCCAGGATTTTCATTGAGTTACCCTAACTCCATTTGGAACTGTGATTTAATAAGGACTTATACAAGCTTTTGGCAGAAAAGGAACACAAACCTATTTGCATTTTTAGTTATTCTTAGTGTCTCGTTGTTGCTGGCATATTTGTAGTAAAAAGTTTTTTCAGGAACTGTGATAACTAAGCATCAGTACTAGAGTAAAACCTGATGAGTCCTTCACTAAAATTAAGGTAAAATAAAGTCAGAATGTTAACCTTTTGTCCACAGTGACCATCTCTAGTTGTTTCTATAAGATGGTTCTGTGGAATTTACCCCTAGACTCAAGTAATTTTTGTAGTTGTCTTGTATTCACTGTGCGGTGATTTCCTAACCTAGCTGTACATCATAACTACCTATGAAGCATTAAAAACAAGTTTCTCAGCAACATCCCAAGCCTTCGGTATCAATCATCTAGGCATGTTAATTTTTAAAAAAGCACTCCCAGAGGATACCACCAGCCTTGCCCTATCAGGCATTTGTAAACCATTTTTCTCAAGGCTGTATAAAGAATGCTGAAATTTACATTGTGCTATATAGCCTTTGTTGCAGTAAATGACAGTAACCCAGCTAAGTAGGTATGTGATCTGCATAGTCTGTTGGGATATGCTTGCTTATGTCTACATTAGTCACTCCACAAATAATCCTGGTTGCTCTGATGAGTGAAACCCTTTTCTGGGCATAATGTAGAACTTCAGCTGGACCCAGTATAATTCCATTGTCTAGAAACTGGTTTGTTTCACTCAGTCTGTTTGAGATTACTTTCATTCCTTCTATTCTTTCATAGCTGCCTAAAGATTGTACATTCAAGAACACTGCTTCTTTTTTAGTTTAAACCTCAGACTTTTTAAAAAAATTAGATTTATTTCCCTTTTTTTTATTTTTTAAAATGTATTTCCATTGAGAGAAGGGAGAATATGTCCTGTCCAAGGAAATGATTGTATATAAATTATGAAAGTAAAATTATTGTTCCAACATGTTGTTTAATATGCTTTGGTCTTGAAGTAAGTGACATAGAGGGTTCAGATTCAATCTAAAAGCCTGCCAGCATGCCTACATTTCAGGCCCTGTAATGCATCCTGGTTTCTTTCCGTCTTTATTAGCTTGCATTCAAAGATGTTGTACAGGAAAATTTCCAGCTATTCCCTTTATGGTGACAAGTCTGCTTAGGAAAGTAAAGATTTGGAAGTATAGAGTAATGGTGGTACAAGTCTCTAAAAGCTCTTAGAGGCTCTGACCCATTCTTTCCTTAACTGATACAAAAACAGAGTACCAGAGAAAGTGACTTATCCAGGCCTACATGGGAAGTTAGTCAGCAGAGCTGGGATGCCAACTTAGGTCTTCTGACTCCCCGTGTAGTTTTCTTTTCCTGTTGTATACCATGCTTCCTGTGGGAATTAGAATACAACAGCTGTAGGAAGACAATTCTGTATTTTCAGGGAGTATCATAAAGTAAAATTAATCCATAAACAGTTCCCCAACTATTTTAATCATCATTTCAAAAGTTGTTTAATATTTTTGCATAGTATGAAAGTGTTTAAAGACAGTCAAGTATCTAGCAAGTTGATAAAATTTGATGTAATATATACATAGCTTATATCTGGTTCCTCCTTTATGTGCTATAGATTTTTTTGATTTAAGTTTGACTTCAACAATCTGAATTCTTGCTTTTGTCTTGTACTTTTTGGAAGGTGTTTTTTGCATGTGGATCTCGGTTGAATGCTTCTGAGTATCTGAAGCCATCTCTTAATGAACTTGTTTTTTTATGTACTTATTTTCCAGGTCAAGAGCAATCTGAATCCAAATGCAAAGGAGTTTGTTCCTGGGGTGAAGTACTAAAATATTTGAGTAGATGGGGCCCTCTTTTGGTGGATGTAGCACAATTTCCACACTGTGAAGGCAGTATTAGAAGACTTAATTGTAAAAGCTCTCTCTTGTCACTGTGTTACACTTATGCATTGCCAAAGTTTTGTTAGTCTTGCATGCTTAATAAAAGTGCTGAGACTGTTATTAAGTAAAAAGCTGTCAAACATTTACTGAAAATAGAATTGGCCCCATGGCTTGATGTGAAGACAGCGAGGAAAGAAGCACCAGTCAAGTCATGACAAAGCACCAGTTTAATGACTGCTGAATCTTAGTGAATTGTCCTTTTTGAGACTAAACTGGTTCCCTTAGGGTTAACTAATACTTGTTAGTGTCTAAACTTTTTTTTTTTAATGAGTAAATTTAAATTAAGTTCTAGTTGTTAAGGGAATTTCTCAGTCAGACTTAAATTTGCATTTGTTCCCTTCAAAAAGAAATGTCCTTTTTCTGAAGAAAGCTTGTTAGTTACTTTGAAATAATTCATTATAGACAAGTATGTCTTTGGTTACTGAGGTTACAAGGTAGTGAACCTAAGTCCTGGCTTTTATGGTGTGTTATCATGTAAGAAATAGTGAATTCTCCTAATGTTACATCTGAGAAACTGTGATCTGAGAATTGCATCCACTTCTAAGGAGTCACTGCATCATAACTGTACCTGTGTTAAGTCTAACATTTGACCAACCCATAATCCAGCTGAACAAAGAAATTGTAACATGATTGGAGTGGTGCTTTTCCTTGCTTTGTTAATCATCACTACAATAGTCTGCAGCACAACTTTTCTTTTAACAAAGCTAGAACAGTTTTGGCTTCTTAAAATTCATATTTTGGTAGGTTAAGCTGCCATATGTGTTCAGTGTGAATAGTGTTTAAGTTGAAAATATTGTAAAAAAATTATATTTTTTCAAAAATATTTAAAAAAATAAATAATAGTAGAACTGAGCTGATGGTTGTGTTCATTGGTGCTGGAATATAGGCTGTCCAGTGGCGATACTCACTTTAGTATGGGCTCAGTCCCTCAGGACCACCCTGCTGGCAAGATTTGCTGAGAGAGCAGGCTTTATATTCGATTCCATTAGTGTCGAGTAATTTGTTATGCAAGGATCTGTCCAAAATGCAGCAGAAAAATAACCCCATATCCCCTTCTGAAGCCCACCTTGATCGCTTCAGGCCACAGTGTCAGGACAGTTGTATATATATACATGTTCAGAAACTTTTCAGCTGGCCAGTATAATGGTAACCTTACTCTGGTATAACCTCTGTTGGCTTCTGCCCTTCACAAGCCATTGCTGGTCTGATTGGACTGGTTTGCTATTTTGATTCACCTGTACCTTCCCCTTTTTCCCCCTCACAAGCTGATTTACATGTTTGTGGCTAGTCTTTATTTGGGACAGTCTGTCAGCCAACTTAAAATTTCCTGGTTACACATACAGTTCTGCCTCACAGCCCTACTCAGTCACTGATAACATCCTCTGCTTTTGTTACATTTGGTGGGCTCAAGATTATGAAGGCCATGTAGTCAGTTCTGGTTCACATTCTCCCTAACGGGTAGGTTTTTTTTAAGACTCTGAACCGGAGATGATCCTGCTTAGCTCTTGTTCTTTTCAAAGCCATAATACAACCAGTCACCTCTGTTTTCTATAACAGCTCAGTACCACAAGTGGCACAGCAGGCTGCCAAGTGTATGAGGCTTACAGATCTTTCTCTGAGCCTAGACAGGGGCAGATGACTTCATTTCCACATACTGCCAAATTATCATAGTGCAATATAATTGGAGATTATAAACTTGAATTAGAGAGTCATTTACTGTAACCTAATGATTAAGAGCAAAGGCTGACCAAACTTCCTAGGTGTGAATCCAGTGATTGTAGGCAAGTCACTTAACATTTGTGCCTTAGTTTCCACCTCATTAAAATGATACTGATAACTATCTCAGGATTGTGTGATTAGTTAATATACATCAAGTACTTAAGACAATTCCTAGCACATAGAAAGTTCTATTTAAGTGACTGTTACTATTATTATTGAGTCATCTAAGCTAAGCTCTCACTTTGTTGAAACTTGTCTGTCTGAGGGAACATGCACATTAAAACCACTTTGATTTTTTTAAGCCCTTCACACACACGATCACCCCATCAGGGCCAATACTTTAGGGTAAGTATTAAGGCAACTTAATATCCTTAATCCTTGAAGAGAATTTTTCCTATTCTTGTGCTATGTCAGTTACTTCTCAACCTTTTCCATGTCATAAAGTGTAACTGATCATCTGGAGTACAAGGATGAGGCTGCTAGTGGCTGGAGTTCAGGTTCATGGGCTCTAGTTGACCCAGTGTCAGCCCAGATACCCAAAGGCTGAAGGGATCAATATTTTGGCATACTGGGAACTTCTTACAAGGTTAATGGCCCACACCTGTTGGAAAGTTCTACTCACTATAAAATGGCTAAGGAGTTCCATCCCAAATACATATATTAACTTTTTACCCAGCCTGCCTTCCCATTGAAAACATTTAAATAGGTCACAAAAATGGAAACAAGAGTTTTTCTTTAGCTCAAATGTAAGAATGTTGTGATCTTTCAACCCTCCCACAAAAGCCATAGACTAAACATCCTACCTTTCCTGGGAGTAATTTTTCAGACCTTGGTGCACACAGACCCAGTTTCTGTATTTTCTGGAGAACCTTCTGGAACTGGAAGCTGGTCTCCTGACCTTGAAGAAAATCCTTTGAAGACTGGGCAGATAGGAATGTATTTCAGAAAGGCAGTTCTTTTTACTTTGTTCATCCCAATGGGAAAGTCATAGCTCTTGAGGCTGGTAGAAATCTCACTGTTGGCATGGGCCCCAGCTTTCCACTGTATCAGACCTCGTTCTTCTGGGCTCCCTGGAAGAGGACAGTAGGATCACTTACCAAGGCCAGCAGCCCCCTGCTACCTCCCCTTCCCATAACCTAGTCCTGAAGTCTGGACTGGCATTGAGTGTCTTGATTATTTTTCTGAGTCTCAAAGTTGAGTCCATGATCTCTCAGCTCCTAACTGGGCCAAGCCTCTAAGGAACCTTTTTAAAGGATACTGGTTATACATAAACAGTATTTATTGCGTGTTTACAGTATGCCAGTACATGCTAAGTGCTTTAATTTCATTATCTAATATCTTTGAAACACACCTGTGAGAGGTGTATAAGCACTAGTATACAAAATTATATAATGAAGGCAGGCAAAAAGGTCAAGTAATTGTTAACCTACATCTTGAATATGGGATTGTATGTCCCAAAATATCAGAAGGGAGAGCTGAGGTCCTTGGGGAAGACTATCTGGAAGAGGTACATTTGAGCTGGGCCTGGCTGCACAGAGAGCATGGGTGGGAATAGTGGAGGGGGAAGATCTGTAGCTGTGGCATGGAACTGAGGTGTCTGATCCCCTTCCCCTTCCCCTACGGGGCACAACAGCCAGTCTAGAGCTCCCTCCCCTATCCTTCACATCCCTACCTGCAGTGCCTTCTCTGCTTCTTCAAATCCCACCCTCTTTGACCCCATCCAGAATCATCCAGGAAGCCCTCCAGATGACTCCAGCCTAGGCTCATTCACCTTATTCTAAACTGCTTTAAACCCAGTTTTACTTCCATTCTTGTTGACTTAGGCTTTTTTTTGTTTTTAACTCAGTATAACTTGGGGCCATGCTGGTAGCCTTCAGTAGTAATTGCTGAACTAAACTGACTGCCCCTTAGGTTGGTCTGTGGGTTGGGAAAAAAGGAAGAGTAAATGCAAAGTGGTCCATCAGCCCAAGTGTGTCCGTGCTACACAAGAAAGCTGTGTGATTCCAGGGTTGAGGACTGGATTCTGAGCTGGATTTGAATTAAGGATGTGTGACCTTAGGCAAGTGATTTAACCACTCTTGAGCTTAAAATTCCTTACCAATGCACACTGAAGGACTGTAGAAGATTATGTAGCATAATACATACAATGATTCTTGGCAGGCATGGTTGCTGATGGGCCGTTTGGTTGAAGGATAGGGATATGAGGAACTCAGGCACTCTGATGATGTTAACAATTCGGTAGCTAAATCCACCTGCCCAAATCACAAACCCCTCTGTACAGCTGCCCACCCAGATGCCCTCCATCTCCCTGGAGTCCCTAGGCATTGAAGTTGCCACTTCCCTGTCTCCTGTCTACAAGATGGACTGCTCCAGGCCCCACCCCATCTTCCTCTAGATGGCTAAGGGGGAAGTAACATGATCAGGATACCACCCATCCAAGGGATAGCTGCTACCAAGTACTCCCTCATCTGACGCTAAGATCTTGAAAGTGCCAGGGAGCCCTGTCCCTTCCCTGCCCAAACTTCAACCCACCAGCTGTGCACAGCCAGCCTCTGATTCCTGTGCTCTAAATAGACACTTGTGCCTTCAGAGAGAGGGAAGCCAGCGGGGCCTGCAACTATGTTCAGGCTGATAGGTGGCAGAGAACGGAGAGCTACTCCCATCTCATCTTTCTGGATTGATGCCATCTAACCGCTGTCTCCACAGAGCTCTCCCTGTTACAGTTACCCTGAAACTCTGTAGCAGAGGCAGTACAGTGGAGGGGTTGCAACACAGGCCTTGGAGTAACTGCATCAGATGGACTTTGTTAAAATCCCTGACTTGCAATGTTTTAAATCAGAAAATGATGTGACATTCAGTGAGTCTGTTTCCTCGTGTAAAATGGTGTTGTCTCTGCCTCACAAGATAGTTTTTGAAGATGAAATGAGACCTTAGCTTCATGCCTGACCCATAGATGTTTGGTAAATGTTAACTATTCTTGTTACTAGTTAGAGCATCTGGTGACATTTAGTTTTCATACATTTACTGTGCACATATATATGGGCCATGAAGATTCTCAGGGACCCCACAAAGTATCCTTCATGATCCCTGCAAAAAGCCCTGATACCAAAGAGAAATGTTAGGGGTTCTACTAGCCAGCATGACAGGTCACTGGCAAATACGAAGTGGGTTTTGCCAACATTCTGATGCTATATTTGTATCTGTCCTACTTTAACAAAGAAAGGTACCCCTCTAACCAATGGCTGTCAAGAAGTGGAAAGGAAACAATTCGTGGGGCCCTGGAATGACTTTCCTAGCCACACCCTATTCAAGACCAAGAGGCAAGTATTTGCCTCTGTTTAGCTGGTAATCTCTCCCTCCAGCCAGCGAGCACTCTACCACAGGGCCTGTGTTGCATCTGACTTGGCCACAGCTCCAGCTTAAGAGACATCTGCTGGAATGCATATGGGTCCAACCTAGTTCTATGCTTCCCTCCCATAGCTGATCCATACCTGGCACTGTGTTGTCCAGTATGAAAGCAAGGCACCCACCCACGAACATCTCCGTGGTCAGCAGCACAGTCAGAATCTGGTCCACTTCAGGAATGCCTGTGGAATAGGCCAAGGACCAATGGATGTCACAGCCCCATCTGGAGAACAGAGCTCAGAGACTTTCTCCCCACTTGTGCAGCCTGCAGACTTCCTTAAGCAGGCATGGAGATGGAACATTACAAAACCTTGACTTTCAGGATTATACACCTCTGCCTCTCCCATCCTTGAGTTCAAATCCCAGTTTTGTTGGGTGCTATTTATTGTCTTGTGACAAATCTTTTAACATCTTTGAGCCTCATTTTCCTCATCTGGAATATGGAGATGATTATAGTATATCTCACACAACCACTGTGAAAATTAAATGAGCACGTGTAAAGCTCATTACCTGTCCACAGAAAGTGTCTTGAGTAAAGGACAGCTGTTAATTTAGCCTCTCAGCTGCTGATTAACATCCAGACTTGGGCAGGATTTGTGGCTCATGCTGTGTAGAGCCTTTGAGGGAGGAGACTATGCTCAGAGTCGAGCTGACCACACCTCCCCCTCCGTGAAACATGGAGGCACCTGTGTTGATGGCATCCGGGTTGGACTCCAGGTAATTGGGCAGCATGAGCCCGAAGAACATGGAAAATCCAAGCACGAAGAGGTTGCGGGAGGAATTCATGTCCACGAACTGTAAGTTGGACAGCCCCACAGCCGTAATCATGCCTGAGGGCACAGGAGAACCGCTGGAGGCCACGCGCAGGCCTGTGGGCTCCACCACACCACGACAGCGCCACCTCCCCAGGCCCACACACTTCACTCACCGAAGAGGGTGCAGAACATGCCCCCCAGGATGGGGTCAGGGAGAGAGGCGAAGAGAGCTGTGAACTTGCCAATGGTGCCCAGGACCAGCATGATGCCTGCACCGTACTGCACCACACGCCGGCTGCCCACCTGCCAGTGAGCCAGGAGGCAGGGCTAGGCTCAGGGGGCGAGGCTGGACAACGTTAGACGTGAGAGGGGCGGGCGGGGCCTGTTATAAGAGCCGGGCTGGATGCAGCACTGGGCCTCTCAAAGACAGGCTAGGACTAAGCCAATGCAGGGACAGCTTTGGGGTGGCGCCTGCAGCACAAGGAATGAGGGCGGAGCTTTGTGCTGCTCTGGCTTGCTGCAGTACCTTGGTAATTCCCAGGACACCGATATTGGGGCTGGATGAGGTAGACCCGTTGCCCGTGCCCAACAGCCCTGCGATAATGCAGCAGATGCCTTCGGTAAAGATACCCCTGTAAGGAAAGGGAGAACGGAAGGGCCTTGGTCCAAGCTCCGTCCTGGCTTGTGTCCTCCCATCGCCCTGTCCAGACTTCTCACCTTCTGTGAGCTATCTGAGCTGGAACTATCTGTCCATAGTACTCCCTACTCCAGGCCAGAGTTGAGTCTGCAAGCCAGAAGCTCAGGTCTGAACACTAGTCCCACTGCCCTAGCACCTAATCCTTAGGAGATTCTGGGCTTCAGTTTCCTCATCTAGAAGATGAGGATATGAGGAGCATCTGTCTTACAGAGTCATTAGTGGATTGCATAAGAGAATGCGCATCAAGGGCTAGGCACATGGAAAGTTGTCAACGACTGTAGTTTCCCTCAGACTTCCTTATCTCCTCAGCTACTCGCAACACAGACTGAGTGATGAGAGCATATCTGCGTTTCATAAGTAAGGAGAATGAGGTCTGAAGTGTCAGTGACGTGCCCAACTCCACACCTCTGGGACTCAACACTGTTCCTACATTTGCTTCCTGAGTGGCCCTTGAGGGTATCAGATATTGGGGACGGCAGTGGGCATACCTGTTGATAGCATGAACTGGAGGGGGTGGCGCACCAGCCAGGCGAGCACAAGCGTAGTAATCTCCGATGGACTCAATGATGCCTGCTAATGTGGCACTAAACATTCCCAGAACAGCAGCTGCAGTCACTGTGGGAAGCCCCCACTGACCTGAGCCAACAGGGAGATAGGAACACTCACTGCATCCACTCTTTTAGGTAGTTCAGGGAGGGGTCTAGGCAGTCCTGGGTGGGGCCGGGGAAGAAGTAAAAGGATCTCAGGCTGGAGGAGGAGCCGTACAGTTGCGGGAGCTTATTTGGGATCACTCAGAGTCATGAAGCTGGAATGAGGCTTTATCTGAGTACACCACCACTGCCTGGCACATCATAAATGTGCAGCCAATACTTGTTATGTAATCAGCTGGATTGGGGTCACCAGGGGCCTCACAGATGGCCTCAGCTGGAGGCAGAGGGGCCCAGCTGGGGTTGCTCACAGGGGTACGGGATGCGAATCCAGGGTGCGATAGCCATTATGTCCCCTCGGGCATCTGTTCGTGCCTGGAAGCCATAGGCTGTGGGGTCTGAGGGCAGCACGTCCGTCAGGGTCAGGACATAGCAGAGCAGCCACACAGTCATGATGGCCATCACGATCTGAAGCAGGGGGGGATGAGGGGTGCACTGAGGGCCCAGGACATCTTGGTCCAGGCTAACCAGCTCTTACCTCAGCCCTAGCCCCAGCCCCAGCCCCAACTCAGTACCTGGCCCCCATCCCTGGCTGGGACCTCATCTCTGCTCTGCCTCACTCCCCTCCTGCCCTGGCCCTTTCCTCCCACCTTGGCCCTGGACATGGGTTCAGCCCCTGCCCCAGTCCCAGCCCAAGCTGCCTGTCAGCTCCTCACGGGAAACATCTTGAAGATCTGGATGCGGAAGAGAGTGAGGCCCTTGCCCCAGCGGTAGATAGGCAGCAGGAAGGTGAGGTTTCGCAGATATTGGGAGAAGAGGACGATCAGGAGAATGGAGCTGGGGGCAGAAGCACAAAGAGGCAATGGCTGGTAGGCCAGGCTGAGGCAGGGTCCAGGGCTACTGGGGCAGGACAAAAAGGGGTTCTGGGGCTGGGCAAGGATCAGGCCTCAAGCCCACTCACCAAGCTGAAATACCCCAGTGTGAGCCAGCTCGGTCGCCAGCAGCTTGGAAAACAGAGAGACCAATAAGGGAGACAGTGGGGGTGACTGTAAGAGGCCCAATGTAACTGAGCAGAGCCCCAGGCAGCCCCATCAGCCCAATCACCACCTCCACCATACTGGACACCATGATTGCACCCTGGACCTGGAAGAGCAAAGATCAACTATAAGTCATTATGTAAAGGCCATGACCTCTACATTAGAAAAAGTTTCTGGATCACATCCTCACATCCCCCATTTCAGCTGTGGCCCTCCCTCCCATCTAACCCCATCCTCAGGTCCAGGTCTCTGCTATCCTACACACAAACCCACCTCTCTTATCCGTGGATGCCAGATATGAGAGGTATTCAGGGGCAGACTCCAGTTACCATAGATCTCCTCTGGTGGCAGAGACAGGAACACACACACACACACAGAGCCAGGGAAGAGAGAGAGAGAGAGGAAATAAAGATGTAGCTCTGATCTGGATCTGGACCCTGGTGTCTAGACTCGGGACAGTTGCCCAGACCTCCAGGATCCTGGGCCTCCCCTCTCCAGTACAGACCCCAGATATGTTCCCACCTTCCTGGGGACATTTCCATTTCTCCAGGGCCAGGATGGCTTTGGCTGGGACAAGAAATGCAAAGGCACTGGCCTGGAACAGCGGCAACCTGGAAGGAAAGACACAGAGCAGCAGGGGCGGGGCAGGACATAGGCGAGCAGAGACACAGAGATAGGGAGATGGGGAGAGATGGGCAGAGAGAGAGGAAAAGGGAGAATCACACACAAGGACAGAGACACAGAGGAACAAGGGCAAGGGTGAGTCACTGAGGGAGCAGAGGGAAGCCACTGAGGCCCCAGGCAGGACTCTATAACATTTTAGGGACTTAGGAAGAAAACAAATGGAGCCTCTGGCCTACAATCTGCCCTCTTTCCTTCTCAATACCAGCTTCTGCACCGTGAAGGGCCACATGCATGAAAGTGGACAGCTTAGTTCCTTCATCCAAGCTCCACTCACAGCCTTCCTCTATCTTCCCAGCACACAACTATCCTAGGCCACCCAGGCTTAGGGCTGTGCACACAGGGGCAGGGGGCTGCCAGGAGGCCAGACCATTGAAGAGGCTCACACAGGCCCTGGAAGCAGGAGAGCAGGTGATCCTGATCACCCAGAGTAAGGCTTACTGGGGGAGAGCCTAGCTAGGGCACAGTCCCTTAAACCACAAACTCCTCATCCTTGAGGAGTGCCAGGGGTCCAGGGTAGGAGCCCAGCTGCCTGGCTCTAAGGCTGGCCTGGGAGTAGGGGCAGCAGGTGGGTGCAGACAACAGCCTTTTTTGCCCCACAAAGGTGTGCTGAGACTGCTCCTGCTCTGTGGATCACTGTGTGTGTGTCTGAGTCGGGGTGAGGCTGCTCACCGGATGCCCACTGTAGTCTGGATGAGGGTGGTGATGCCCACACAGGTGAAGATGGTGCCAATGAGCTGACTGACCATGTGCTGGTCACGGCCCACACACAGCGCCTCAGCCAGGAGGAAGGGCACAGCGATGGTGCCACTGAAGCAGGTCAGGTAATGCTGGGGTTTGGGGAGAGTGCGTGAGGCAGGGCCCACTGGCTCACAGGGAAACAAAGAAACCCTCACAGTCCTCATGCCTGCCTCCGTGGGCCTGAGCCCATGCCACTCTGGGCAGCGTGCCCACCCAGGACCAAAGCTCCCAAAAGGGATTCCCACAGAGCTCACCTCTCTGGGGGTTACTAATCTGCCCCCATTATTCCTGTGGCTTCTGTGGAATGGGCCCTCATCCCTGTCACCGGCACTCCGCTTGACAGGTCATGCGTCATCCCAGGAGCTTAATCCTCTTTCAGGCCCCATTGAGCCTCTTCCCCACCCCCCACCCCCAGCTTGGTGACAGTCATTACTGTCAACATTAGGTTTCTCTTCCTGTTACCCAAGATAACTTTGTTGGCCAAAGAAGGATTTGGGATCCTGGGGACTGTGCAGTGTGGGGTAGGAGGGCCCTGGGGAGACGCTCACCTGGAAGCCCAGCAGGAGGCACAGGTACCAGGGCGGCACGTCCTCAATTTTGTACAACATGTCAAACTTGGGCTCTGTGGGCAGAGACGCTGTGGGGTCCCTTGTGGAGGTCCCTGCTGAGCCCACAGACTCATGCTGGGGGCGGCACAGAGCAATAACTCAGGGTGGGGAGTGATGGAGACTGGAAAATTCCCTTCCGCTTCAGAATCAATTAGGTAGCCTGACTGGCTGGTCAGCTCCACAGAATGGAGTCCAAGCCTGGGGTCCCCACCCTCCCTCAAGTCTGATCCACCCAGCTACCCCTTAACTGGCGGTGCCTGGCTCCCACCTCATGTTGCTTTGTGCAGGGATGAGTCCACTGTACTGACTCCTGGAGCCCTCAGGATCTGGGCATTCTAGCCAAGGGAATGGGCCCGAAAGTCAGAAGGCCTGGGGCACCAGGAGAGGAGGCCAAGAGGGCTGAAGACTGTGGACAGACAGTCTGCCCCTTAGAGGTCGTTGGGGTATCACTAGAGGGGTGGTGGGCTAGGCCCCTGCTGGCCCCCAACCTGGAGTCAACCAATCCCAAAGTGGAAGGCTGCTTCACCCCCACTGCCACCCCACCCCCTCCCCCAATTGCCATGTTCCGCCTGGGACAGTCACTCTTCAAGTTCATCAGAATCTTTGTCTCTGCCCTCCCAGGGAGCAGGCCTGCACAGGCCCCCCACCCTGCCCCGCCCCCACCCTGCTCCCACCCCGCTCCCACTCATCCCCCAGCACCTGTGTCCGGGCCTTCATCTTTGGGGCACAGGTGTGAGCAGTTCCTGAGGAGAAGAGGGGATGGCTTTACGAGGGCCAAGGAGGACTTTACTCCACATATCAGACATTGTTCAAAGTAAATCTGTAACCAGATCTCTAGCTCTGATTGCGAAAGGAGGACCCAGGTTGAGGTAACGTATTAACTCTGGCCATAGTGGAAAAGGCCACTCAGGCCTCTGCTACATTTACCTCCTGAGCACTCCCTTACTTGCCCGCACCTGAGCCTGGGCACTGGCCCTGTTCTCGTTTTCTAAGAGAAGGCCAGAGTAGGGGTGAGGAGTGGACAGTCTTGGAAGTTTACCAAGCCCTGGGTGAGGTGACAGGAAAGGCAGTGAAAACGGGCATCTGCTATGTCACACCATGAATGAGGCTTTTCCCCACTTATTAATAAAAAGTTAATCATTATCATCATCATAACCTGTCTCATTATTGAGGGACGACTGTGTGCCAAGCAACACGTGTGTCACTGTCACGTTTAACCCCAGGCACGGGGTGTAATTAACCTCCTTTACAGCTGAGGAAACAGATTTAGAAGATATGATCTGACCAAGGCCATATGGGTAGCAAGATTTTAGAAGACAATTCCGAATATTCAGGTTGGCCTGAACTCCTGAACCCAGGCTGTTACTTGTACATTAAATGTCAAAAAGGCGGCTCTCCCCACCACCACTCACCCATCAGGGTCCCCAACACACATAACAGATGCGCCTCTGGAGAAGGAGCTGCCAAGGCTGGCCAGGCCTTGCCTGTCCCCTGTGTCAGGACAAGGATTCCCTTCCCCTCGCAGCCAGGACCGGCTACATAATCTGTGAGACCCAGTGAAAATGAAAATCTGGGCTCTCGGTTCCAAAAGCATTATAAATTTAAAAACAGCAACAGCAGAGGATCAAAACAAGTTTTGGGGCCTTTGTAAACACTAAGCCAGCCCTGGGCCCAGCCTGTCTTCCCTTCCAGGCAGGCCCATCCAAGACTGATCATAGGGCCTGGAGCTGGCTGATGGGGACTGGGGAGGGCCTGAGGGCTAAGGCTCCTGTGCTGGTGGGGGCTGGGCCTGAATTCCCTGGTTCTGCTCCCTCTGTGCCTCCCTTAGGGTCCACCTACCTCTGGGTCGCTGTGCCCACGGCCAGGCCCTGCCTGGAGGACCCACAGTCATCACCGCTGTCCATCTGGGTAGCAACTTCATGTCACAGCTCTGAATCCAACAGCCTGTCCAGCCTCCAGCCCGTTCTTCTGTTTGCCTGTCTTCTCTTCTCCCTTCTTGGCTCCTGCTCCCAGGTTCTCAAAGTCATCTGACTAGTTCAAAGCCTTGGCTCCTTAGCACTTTCTTCCCGACCTGCTCCTCCCCAGTACTCCCCAGGGGGGGAACTGGGAAAACAGTCCCACCCCTTTCACACACTGTCTGTTGGACGCAAGTCAACCCAAACCAAACATCACATACATAGAGACAACGCTGGGAATTTGCACATGGTCTCAGCTACACAGTTGCAGTATTGGACCCACAGCACCCATACTCTGATGCAAAGTCTTTCTAGATCACTCCACATAAACATGGAGCCACACAGGTCCACATCTCAGGCTCCCAGCTGACACTACTGACTGCTTGGCTCAGCTGATTCCCTGGGCCCTGGCTCTTCTGATGCTTAAGGGTTCTCTTCTGGGGTGAGGGTCAGGGAGGAGGGGCCTTAGGCAGATGGGGAACAGGTGACAGAATGTAAGAGGCTGGGCTACGGAGTAGCACAGGGAATACACCCACTCCTCCAGCACTGACCTTCCCCCTCCCCCAAATTTGAATCCCCTCCCAGCCCTGCCACTACTCAGCCTGGGCCTGGCCTGAGCCTCTTTTGTTGTCTGAGCCCAGGTTTCTGCATCTGTCAACTGAGGATTAGGGTCTCCGTTCTGTCCACCTCCCAGGGCTTCAGCGGATCAGAAACGCTCACAAAGGAAATTGTAAGCTGTAACACCACCTAAACCCAGGCCCCCAGCCCCAAGTGTGGAGCTTTTTTTCTCCATTGACAAGGAAAGTTCTCCAGGTGAGAAGAACAGATATCTGGGGAGAGCAGGACATACAGCCAAGATGCTGAAACCAGCCTGTTCCAGGAACCCTGCTCTGCCCTGTCCCTAGCGGGCACCTAGGGCCCAATCATGCCAGCTGGGGTCAGAAGCAGAATCTAGAAAGTGAGTGGCCTCTGGGTGTTGACCCAGGGAGACCAATGTTCTGGGAGGGGCACAGGTAGCGGCACACAGTGGTTGCAGTAGGCGTATCCACAGGTGGCCTGCATATGGAGTTTTCCTTGGATTTTCTTTTCTCTCATGTTGGATCTGGGGTTTCAACCGGTCAGATAAGTGGTTCCTTACACCTTTGACAGCTCACTCACATTTCCAACCATAACAGACCTCACTTACCTCTGTGAAGTTGTGAGGATGTGTACCTGGTCCTCTCTAGGAGGGACATCAGTAGAAACACCAACATCTATCCTCCCAGCCCCCCAAACACATTTTGCAGAGAGAAGGAATTGAGGTCAGTGGGTTTTATTTGAGTCCAGAGGGTAAGGCCTTGGCCCCCGCCCAGGCCTCAGGGCCCCGAAGCTGGAGGAGGAAGGGAGCCTGCAGCACAGAAGAGTGAGGCCTCCCTACCCTCCAGCAGCCTGCAGAAAGGAGTGGGGAAGATCCAGAGGACACTCAACTCTCCTCAGGGGCTGATCAGGAAGAAGAAGGAGGAGTTGGACTAGAGCTCGGTCCTTGTGACTTGCTCATCCTCTGAGCAGGCCCCCAGGGGGCCTCCACACAGCAATGTCTCCAGAGCCCCTCGACCTTGTTGGTGGGCTTCATAGATCTGGTCTTCTCCAAACTCCCCCAGGTAGTGCAAACATGTCGTGAAGAGCCTAGGGGAGCCCAGTAGGAGCCTCTTACTCTGCCCGGCCTATGGTGGGGCAGACCAAGGCTGCAAGGGCTCCATCCCACCCCAACCTCCCAGTCATCACCTGGTTGGCCAGGGCCCCCCTGTGATCGTCACGCTGATGCTTGGCTCTGGCCCCTTGTTAAGTCCTGGGCCTGTAAGCCGTTTCACCTGGTTCTCTTCTCGAACCCCATAGCTGAACGCAGTGAGAAGAGAGGGATACAGCATTAGTGGGAGCTCAGCCAGCAAGGGACCTGTCTCCACATGAAGCTGAGCACACTGGACATTTGCTGAGATCAGTGCCCAGATTCTGATCCTCCCAGATGGAAAACTGAGGACCAGAAAGGGGAAGCCCCTGGCCCAAAAATCACACAGCAATCTTGTCCCCTGGCCCCCTACCCTTCCACTTGCTCCCAGCTCCAGAGCTCAGACTGTGTCCCAGCCAGTCCCCACCTTGGACCAGAGCCCTAGTGGAGTGCGTGTGGTGTGCGAATGGGAGAGTGCGAACCTCCACCCATCAGCTCTGCTCCTGGAGGTGGGAGGTAGGGGCCAGATTTTCAACTCACTCCTGCCAGGTCTGGGAGCAGCTCTGGTCCAAGACGTCTGTGTATACCGACTCACTCAGCTCTTGATGTTCCCCGGAGTCCAGAGTGTGAAGCTTGGCCTCTGCCTTTGTCAAATGTTGTGACATCTGGAACAAGGAGGGGCTGAGAACCAGGGCTTCAGAACTGCTCAGTGTGGGGAGGGGAGAACAGGGGCCTGGGTCTCTTAGGAAGAACGAGGCAATGGAGCCTTTGAGCAGGAAGCACCTGTGAGGCAGGCTCCACTGCCCTAGGATGGGGCGGGTGGGTGGGTAGGTGGGAAACGCTTGGGTGGAAAGTTAGGACTAGGAACTGGGGCCCCTCCCCCAGGGTGCACCTGCCCATCACCACATGTTATTTTAAACCACAAGAACCAGGAAGGAAAAAACCTGCCTAGTCTTCAGTGACACGTGTACTTATAGCCCGCATGCGCGCACACACAAGTACTCAGGCACGCTTGACAGGTTTGTGTGTGAATTCAAGAGAAACATAAGGGGGAGGGTATAGATCAAGTGGTAGAGCACATCCCTAGCATGCATGAGGTCCTGGGTTCAATCCCCAGTACCTCCTCTAAGAATAAATAAATAAATAAACCAAATTACCTCCCCCCACCAAAAAAAAGACACACATATACTCGTGTCTTCATGTACTTAACACACATGCACATGTGCACACATACACCAATGCTCCTTGGCTATGTTTTGGAAAGCAGTCCAGACTTAAGGAGGGGCCCGGAAAGGGAGGAGTCAGAGAGGACAAGCTGGTGACTCCCTCGGGTCTCAAGACACTGTGGAGTATCCCAGATTGCTCTCTGTTGGGCAGATAGGTAAACTGAGGCACAGAAGTTCTGGTGAGGTGATGATGGCAATATCATGGAGGCTGAATCTAGGTTGAGGCCTAGGGTAGGGGTTTGGGGAATCAAAGGCCAGTGGTGGAATCTGAGGTACACAGACGGTCTGGGTTGAGAGGGTCCTGGGCTGGGGCCAGAAAACTATTAGGCTGGGGTGGGTCGTGAGGGGTGAGGAGTGGAGGGGAACTCACCTGGTAGGCCACTGCCCTGCAGGCATCACAGCGCAGGTGAGCAGGCATATGAGCTGAGTACTTCTCTTCATCATCCAGCTGTGGGGCAGTGGCCGTGAGCGGGGCCCTGTCCCCGAGGCCCCCTGGGATGGCCCAGGCCCCCAGCAGCAGCAGTAGCAGGGTCAGCCTCATGGTCAGTGGAGGCGGTTCAGCGAGCAAGGGCTGTGGTTGGGGTGCAGGTGTTCATGTGTGTGCGTGTGTGCAGTGGGGGCTGCCCTAGAATGCCTGACTCAGACCAATGAGGAACTGACACCTCACCTCTCCCATTCTCTCCCTTCCCCCACGGCTCTGGAGACACCATGTGTGCCCCGCCTCTAGTGGGACCCCAGCTGCAGCCAATTCAGCTCCATTTCACAGAGAGGGAACAATGAGGCAAGGAGAGGGGCTGGGCCTGGGCATGGGGGTGCTGATAACCCATGTCCTGGGATCTAGCCACATGGCAGGCCTTGTGCTTGGGGAGGAGGTAGCTGGTTACTATCATCATTTATTTACCCCCAAGGACACAAAGGTTCAGAGGAAAGTGACAAATCCAAGGCCACACAACTAGAGGGGCCTTGCTGAGACTGGAACCCAAGCTTGACTGACTCCAAGACCCATTGGCCACTCAGCCACCAGGAGAAGTGAGGCCATAGGCATGGTTGCCAGCCTACGGCTCCCTTCCTGAGAAGCAAGCTTGCTGAGGCAAGGATGCCACAGTGTATGAAAGACACACATGGTCCCCTCCCCCAGGCCATACAGAGGCATGAAAGGGCACTGTAGAGGGTGTACCGCAGCAGGAAATCAGACACCTTACACCAGTTGTTCCACCCATCATGGCCTTGGGTCAGCGATTTATTGCACACCAGGATGAGGTGAGGGGCCCAGGAGTGGCCCAGTGCCCTCTGTGCCATCAGAACCAGCATCTCTGGCAACAGGAAGATGTCCAGGTTATTCTGACTCATAGTTCTCCCAGTCAGCTTGCAGTCCAAGGCAGGGGGGCAGCAACTCCAAGGAATCTGGGCCCCCTAGAGGGCTTAACTTAAGGAAGGCATTGATTTCCATCCCTGACACTGCTTCTAATGGTAACTGTTCTTCCCCAAATTCATCACACCACATACCAGTCCAGCAAGGCCCAGCAACTTCAAGGTCAGAACTACACACAGACTCCCATGCAGAGCACCTCCCACCACATGCATCTCCCTCTGCCCTCCTCAGACGCTCCTGGAATCTCAGGGCAATTGGAACACAGGCTCTGGGTCCTGTCCCTACCCATGCTGTGACCATCTGGTAGAGCCAGCCCCTCTCTAGGCATGGTTGCCACATCTATTACTGAGGGAGTGGAACCAGCTGAGAGCTCCATACAGGGGCATCTTTTCTATTGTCAGCCCTAACTGCCCCCTGCACTCCATCCACAAGAGTCAAGAGCTCAACCTTCCACCCTGCTTTTAAGTCCTTCCTGATGACTCACTCTTCTGCCCCTCCACCCTGGGTGAGAATGCCTGGAGCCCCTACTCTTGACCCCAGGATGAGCCAGCTTAGCTCTGAAGGCTTAGACAAGCCAAGTCAGAGGCTGGGGTTGAGGGGAGAATGAGAGGTGTCACTCCTAGCTGAAATCTACAGCCATCCCCTCTTCCTACCAGTACCCCCACCCCAAGTCCAAGGCTGACCCTCCATAGCCCCTTCCATATTACATCCCTGCTCCACCTCTACCTATTGTCCCCACAGCTACCTTTCTCAGATGAGCCTGGCATAGGACCTGGACTAGCCACTTTTCACTCACAGCCTCCCAGGCCAAGGCTCAGATCCTCTTCCAAAGAATAACAAATTTGACAGCCAGCATCCTTCTCTCTCCGTCCCACCAGTTCTCATCAGGTTGTTCCACCTCAGCTGGGCCCACCTTTAGCAAGAAACAGAGAACTCACTACCACTGGGGACAGCCCTGTCCCCTGCAGCTCCCATTTCCTCCAGCCCCTGGGAACCCCACACCCCCTCAAAGTTGGCTCCTGAGGCCACATCCTGGGGCTTCTCACTTTTACACTGCCAACTAAAAGCTGCCATCTGCCTCTACAAGAATGAAGTCACTAGCCACTCCAGCAGCTGACCTTCAACATACTCTGAAACGAGTTCAGGGCAGAGACCAGGAATGAGGCACTCTGTGCTCTGGGAAAAACTGACAGAAAAGGCCTTTAGATAGTTATTTTCAGGAGATTTTTATGAGCTTAATTTCTTACATTTTTCTCATATCTAGAAAAGTACCAAAATCATTGACAGATACATCTGCTCCTCCTGACTAGCACCAACCTTCTGCCAAAATCTGTGCTTGATCGCACATATTCCCCTTCAAAATCACAGACATACTGAACTCCCCGTCCCCCTACTGCTTCACAGCATTTCCTCAGAGCTGAGAGGCTGCCTCCTGGGCTATAGTCCTCATTTTGCCCCCAATAAAACTTAACTCACAACTCTCACATTGTTTTTTGTTTTTTTTTCTTTCTTCAGTCGACAACACATACACACACACACACACACACACACACACACACTGGGAATGCTTGGGGAAGGGGTATAGGATTTTGTTGGGGGAGGAAGTAGGCAGCCATTTCCTAAGCTCCAGCTCCATCAGCCCCGGGTGTCTCAGGTACTACTCTGAAGGTAACTTCTGGTCTGAAGCCTGCGGGAGATGTGTAAAAGAAACAGGTGACAGAAGGAAAAGAGGGCAGGGGACTGGATGCCAGAACCTCCAAGGCCATCAATAGGCCCCAACACCATGGGGACCATGCACTGGGGCCTCACACCGGAAACAGGGAGCCCTTGCTGGGCTGGGCGGGACCCAAGTTGGAGGGTGGAGCACAGAGGAGCAGAGGAGGTGCGGGGCTGGGTGTCCCACTCATTGGCAGGTAGTACATTCCATCCACGGGCCCCGCCTCAGAGGCCCAGGGTAGCTGGGGGCCGCTGAAGACCGGCGGGCCTGGGGATGGTGGCAGAGACAGGCCAGCGACAGGCCCATAGGCGGGTGGGTAGAGACCGGGACCAAGAGCCAGCGGGGTATAGACGCGGCGGGGTGGCACCGAGGGCGAGGGTGGCAGCAGCACCTCCACGTACTGCCCGCTCTCGGGGTCGAAGAGCAGCCGCAGCCGAGGCTGCCTGGGCGCCTCGAAAAAGTAGTAGCGGCCGCTCTCGGGGTCCACCAGGACCTTCCCCCGGGTGCGCGGGCCCGAGCGGCCTGCGCGCCCGAGAGGGGCCTTCCGGGGACCGGTCCGTGGGAGGTGCCGAGGCCGCGCGGGGCCGGGGCGGGGCCGTTCTGCCAGCCAATGCCTGGGGCTCTCGCGGGAGGGGCGACTGGACCGCTTCCGCGGACTCAGGGGCCTTAGTTGTCGTCTCCAGTTTGGGTGTTATTCCAGGGCTCGAGCTAGGGTGCGCCTGCGGGGAGCTGGGGCGGGGAGGTTGGGCCCCTGCAGGCTCTATGGGCGACCTCTGGGGTGAGGTGCGAGCGCCGCCTAGAGGGCTGGTCCGACCCTTTTCGTCGGGGACTAGGCGCTGGGCCTCAGCATCCCGGTTCTTTCCTCCAGGACCGCGCACCAGGACTTCCCGGGTTCCCTCCGGCCGGCGGCCTAAGGCTAGGGCGCCAGGCAGGCGGATCTCAGTGCGCGCGAAGGGTTTCGCCGTACTGTTCTCTGCCCTCCGCCTCAGGGCCCCGTTGGGCTGCGTAACCTCCGGAGGGACTGTGTCTGGCGTCAGCTCTGGAGGGTCATAGGGGTGTGACACGACCGGCAAAAAGTCCTTGAGAAAAACGGAAGTGTAGTGAGCCGGGGCTGAGGACCCAAGCGCCTGAAGCTCCTGTCTCTTGGATGCGCCGCCCTCCTCCAAGCGGGGGTCCGCAGGAGTCGCAGGCAGCCTTGCCCCTGGGGTGCCTGCCGGGAAGCTTGGTGCGTATGTAGTCTTCACCATCTTGCGCACGTCGCGAGGCCGAGGAATGGCCACGCGCGGACGCCCTGAGGCCGCTTCTCTAGGGCCCAGGGCTTCTGGATGCGCATCGGCATCCAGGGTGCCCACGAGGCGACTGAGAGGCAGCTGGGGTGCAGCCACCTCTGGCGACAGCTGACTGCCTCGGAAGGCAGAACCTGGCATTTCCCGCGTGGACGGACTCTGCGCCTCTGTTAGCTCTGGAGTCCTGGGTGCAGATGGCGTGGGAAGCACCAGTTTCTCCTGGGCTACTCCATTCATAGCTTCCTGCTTAGATACTACCGATGAGCTCTGCACTGTGGGGTCCCACGTCTCTTGGGGCGATGGGCTCCACGTCCCAACAGGACGATATGGAGCCTCCCATGAGGACAAGGCTGGTGGGGACGGACTCCTACTCCCCTCAGCTGTATCCCCGACTGTTGGATGCGGAACTTTCCACGAGGAAGGAGCTTCGGGGGATGGGCTTCGTGCCCTGGTGACACCCTGATTCCACTGGGAAAGGGTCGGAGGAGAAGTACTCTTTCTGCTGACAGTTTCTGTGACAGCAGGATCCTGATTTTCCCATGCGGAGGATGCCTCAGGGAGCGGCGGGCTACTCACTCTCGGAACAGCTCGATTCCACGGGGACGGGTTCTGGGGGGAGGGGCATTGAGGACCCCGCAGGGTCCCATTTGGGGCTTGCCACAGCGGGGATGGGCTCCTCGGCCTCGCAGTCTTACTCGAAACCTCCCAGGGGGTCCTGGACTCTAAAGGTGGACTCTGTGCCTTCAGGACGGTTCGATCCGGAGTCTGTCGCGGGAACCGAGTTTTGGGTTCCTGGTTGTGCGCCTCCTGGTTCTTCTCCTCTGACTGCAGGAAGATGCTGGAACTAACCGGACCTAGCGGCTCAGTCCCCGGCGTGGGCTTGTCGCGCCGAATTGCGCGCTCGCGGAGGCTAGGCCACGGTCGCGGGGCCCTGGCGGGGGCTGAACTGTAATGCACACGGGGTGGTCGAGATTTGGCCTCCTCCAGGACCACTCGAGTACCGCGGGGCTTCTCCGGGGTCGCAGGCTCTGGCGGCCCCGTGAGTCCGAAAGTGGCGTTGCTTGAAGCAGAGGTCACGGGGCTTAGTTTTCTGGCCAGCGCTGTCTGCACGAGGCCCGCGGCAGCCTGCAGGCGGCCCAGAGACTCATCCAGGGAGCCGGTGCGCAGGAGGAGTCGGGGCCGCGGCGCGGTGGCCACCCGCGGGGGACTCCGGGGCCGGGGACGCAGCTCGATCTGACGCTTGGGCACCGTCCGGGGCCTGACAGGCGCAGCACGTTCCTCCAGCGCCACCTCCACACACTCGAACTGCGCTGGGGTGGCAGGACTCGGCCCACTGGGCCGTAGTTCCAGGTAGGTGGCCCAGCGGGAGCCACCGTCTGGGGCCAAGGGCTGCGGTTCCGCAGGGATGGAAGAGGCGGGCGGAGAGAGGTTGCTGTAGGCCCGCGCCGTGAGCTGCTGCACCTCGCTATCCTCTGCGTCGGAGCGGCTGAACAGGGGTCCGGTGCCGAAGATGACTTCCATCTCCCCCGACGGCAGCATGCGCAGCTGGGGCAGGGGTGGCCGTGGGCCCGAGCTCGGGCCTCGCGGGAAACCCGAGCCAGGCCAGAGCTGCTGGCGGCTATTCTGGGCGCTGACAGACAGGCGAGGCTGCGCGCCCGCCCCCAGCGCAGGGGCCACCCGGGGCCAATTCGTCCGGCCCTCCGCGTCCGGCCCAAAGTC